CGTACAGCAGTTATATATCAAACAAATATTCATTAATGAAATAGTCTCTATTCTTATCAACGATACTTTTCCATCTTACAACCAGGTTGTTAATGCTCTGATCAAAGAAATCACTTGGATTTGAAGCAAAAAAAAACCAAAAAATACGTCGATGTCCTCTTTAAAACCTTCCACATTTGCATACGTTTTCCCATTAAGATGGCGTTCCAGGGAACGAAAAAGATGGTAATATTGTAACAAGATGGTAATATCTAGAGAACATGGTGGGTGGGGGAGAACTTCCCAACCCCACTCCATAATCTTGTGTTGCGTCAAAAATGTCACATGTGGACGTGCATTGTCGTGGAGAAGAAGAACACCTTTCCAAATAACGAGTGAAGGGCTTGATTTAAATGTTCCAGTTGCTGACCAAATGCAAAGCATCACTTTCTGCGGATACAGTCAAGGTTTTGGGGTTGGAAGTGGTTTTTGTCTAGGACTGAGCCATTGTTATTTGACGTTTAATATTCGCATAGAGAATCCATTTTTCATCACAGGTGACAATTCTGTCCAAAAATGTTTCACGCGCCAGAAGAGATGAAGCAACGGTCAGACGTTGGAAACGATGATCATCGGAGAGTTGGTGAGGCACCCAAACACCTTCGTTAAGGAGTTTTCCCATATTCCTTATATGTTTACGTGTTGTTTCATGAGAAACATGTAATTTGAGGACCATTTTACGAGTGTGTTCCTTCGGTTAGACTCAACAAGCGTCTTCACAGAATCAATATAAATTCCAACATGTCGGCCCCCTGCCATCACAGTTTTTAAGGCTAAAGTCACCCGAACAAAATTTGCTGAACCATCGTTGACATTTACGAACGTTCAAAACATTTCCATAAATTTCTTTGTGGGTACAAAGACATTGTTTCTCTTCTTGTATTCACACATCATTACATGCCGAATGTGTGTCCCATTGCGTGCCATCACTATAAGGAATTAGAGCATTATTTATTATTTGTTTGCGAGTTATGGGGGCGCCATCAGCAGATGATATGCCCCCGAATTCCCTGACCTGATTTAGTTGAAATATATACTGCCATTTAACAAGAAGTTAGTAGTTACATATATATATTTTTTATTATATATTTTATTTTATTTTTGTTTTTTATTATTATTATTTTTTTTGTGTAGTTAATTGTTTGACACTAAAATTCCTAAAATGTCACGTTACTGGGATAAAACAAGGAAAAGTTTACACAGTTAGTTCTTCTCGACTAGGGGAAGACTCCAGCCATTGGAAACAAGGATAAAGGAAGTAGCCCTATTAGTAAATAGAAAGGTAATTAAATGTTTTATGTTATTTCTAATAACGAAGTTATATATTGCAGGATAGAGACAATTCGTAGTTAATAGAGAGTGGTAGGTAAAAGGGACGTTTATGTTACACATCTGTTGTTTTATGGCTGCTCGATCTCTTTGATAATATGTACATTCCATTAAAACATGTTAGGGGTCTTCAAAATTTGAACAATGGGTGCATTCTCCATTTGGGTGTACTTGTATTTTGTACAGATGTCCATTTAGACCTGTGCAATTAAAACGGAGGCGTGTGATAATTACTTCTTGGTGTCTGTTCGTACATTCATATTTGATGTGGAAGAAACAACAGGAACAATTTTCTTGTACATATTAATAACTTGCACTGAATTCAATCTACTCTGCCAGGAATCTAAAATATATTGATAAACCTGGCCATAGAGGTCACCAAGCTCAAAAGAAACGTTTGTGATCCCTGGATAGGCTAACGCATTCTTAGCAAGATTATCAACTATCTCATTTCCCTGGATTCCTATATGGCTAGGGACCCAAAGAAATTTGATGACCATACGGCGACTTAAACGGACAAGGTATATAAATACTTCACTCAA